AAGACATATTATTGGGAGAAAAAAGAAGAAATTTTATGAAAACCCCAAAAAAAAAAAAAAAAAAAAAAAAAAAAAAAAAACAATTCAAGCTTTTTCTTATTGAAATTACTTATTTTTTCTTTCTGGTAAAATTGTTTCTTTATTCTGGTAATATAATTACCATGTTCTTGTAATAAATCAAAAATTATCAGAGATGACTGAAATAAAATTTACTTTTTGAAGATATTTTCCGTAAATGTCATTTTTACTTAGAAAAACAGCAAGAACTAAAAAGTATTAAAATCTGATCTGGTATGAAAAGAATGTGATTTGACTTTACTCGTGAAATATGATTTTACGTCTCTGAGCCCTGGTCTCTGGATATCCACAGTTTTTAAAAAATGATGAAAGCACCTATAGGAACTGAGTGCTTCTTAAATTACCCCAGAAAAATGCACCGGCAGGCACTTCTTTATGCAGCATGTTTTGGACCGCTTCCAAGTCATACAAGCCGCTGCTTTATTGAGAGAGCCGACCCATTAAGTTTATGACAATCGTTTCTCACCTTGAAATATCTCCTGATGCTGAAATAATCCTCTCTGGGCCGCCAGCGGTTTTCTGACCAGTCACCTGATGGACGCTGACTCAGGAGGAAATGGGGAAACACGTCCAGTCGGCCAAGAAAAACCCAGATGTGATCATTAAACATTTGAAAATACAATACAAAAACACATTTCTTAAAAACGTCATTAAATTCTATAATCAGGTTTTTGCCCGAGGTTTTTCCATCTCTGTTGGACGATAAATTGTCCCAGAATTTAATGCAATAAACAATAAAATTGTTGTCTTGAAACCATTTTCAAATAATCAGAGGGTAAAATACCAAAAGAATGTACTAAAGTAAGAGTATCACTACTTCAACATATTGTTACTCAAGTCAAAGTAAAAATTAGCCATCCAAAAAAAATATACTCATAAAAGTTGCTCTAGTAAATGTAACTGAGTAAATGTAACTAGTTATTACCCAACTCTGCAAGTAATATAATGGCATCTATGAAATAATTATGTAAGAACACATTCTCAAAGATCAAAAAACTTTAAATTCTAACATTGGAACTGGAAAACATTTTAAATATCCAAAGTAAATAAACAAAAAACAGAACAAATAAAATGAATTCTCAGGTCTCTGTAAACAAAATTGTCCTTCAAAAAAAGTTTTACTTTAGACCAAAAGACTAAACTGAAAATTTTATCATCCGGTGTTTGGTAGAATGAGAAAAATGATCAATCATGCTTATGTAAATGATTGAGTTTGTTTTAATTTATCATGTTTCCATCTGGTGAAGAAGGAAGTTGCTCTCAGTGTCTTCAGAGGTTTTTGTGTCGTTTCCTTCAGTGGTTCTTGGTGCAGCGCCCCCACAGGCCAGGAGGGGAACAGGTTGCTCAAAGGGTTTGGTTGGTTTACATGACGGAGAATTACGGCCAGGCTAAGAAAATGAAAAACTTAAATAACAAGAATAAATTCATAAAATTACTAGATGTCATAATATTACAAAAATAAACTGTCATGAGAATAACGTTGACACAACACAAGAATAAAGTCAAAATATTATGACTTTATTCTCATGATTTTAAATTTTATTTCTTCTTATTATGGCCCTAATGCTCTGAGTGTTTCACATTCAGTACAGTGTTAAATCAAACTGCAACACCTGATCATTTAACAAATGTTGCAACTTTGGACCCTAAACGAACCGAACCAGTCCATAAGCAGTTCCAGGCCTGGAGAAGCACTCTTGGAACCGCTTATCCAGATAGATGAGATTCTGAAAGCTCCTTTCAGCTGCACCAGGTGTCAGACAGAGGAGAGACGCCGGGAGGAAGTGAAAAACTGCGTGTGCTGCTGTTTTGCTCAAAGTGAAATGAGGCGGTGAAGGACGTGAGGAGGGATTTCTCTGGCAGCCATTCAAATGAAGCAGCACCGTCCCACTCATTTGTTTTTCACCTTCTCCAGGACAAACTGGAGGCAGAAACAGCGTCCCATCAGGAAACACCCTGTGATCGTCTTCCTTATGCGTTCTGATGTAATTTCCTCTCTGATGTGATGCATGCATTGTTTATTGAAGTATCACACCATTGCAGATTTCTCTAGTGTCTAATATAAACCCGTTTCATGTTATTGTTTACATCTGGAAATTTCGCGCTTGCGCACAAACCTGGAGGGCAACAAGACGATTCTTTTCCATCTGTAGCAGAGCTGCTGCGGTAAAACTGTGACCTAAATGAAACCTGGAGATGAAGCTTTTATTAATTTAGTGCAGCAGAGCAAAGGAAAAATAACTAAAAACCACTTTTTTGCTCTCTGTGTCTGCTGCACGACACACAAGCTCGTTGCCATAGCAACTGGTTGACAACAACTCCACTAATGTATCAGGAGTCAACACCAAAAAACAGTGCTAACGATGATACATTAGCTAATTTAAACACCTTCTCTAATCGTCTGTCAGATTTGGTGTTTGGGTCGCCTTTTTAAAATTTTTTAAACTGAACTGAATTACACCAAATTCTGCAACACATCTGCATGTTAAGGTTGTCATAGTCAAGCTAGCATAGCTGACCTACTTCCCTCTCCCTCGTTGTTTTTTATAATTCAAACTTTTTCCTTGTTATCAAATTGTTTAATGTTGACTATTAGCAGCAAAGCACTGCGTCCATTTTTCTTAAGTATCAGGCGAACATTTAAGATTTAGCATGTTACATTGACAGTTTGACAGCTAACACCAATGCTAGCCATCGCTAGTGAGTAGCTGTTTTAGTTGCTGTATAATGTCTTAAACTATCACAAGATATTACTAATAACAGTAAAAAATGATAGATAATAGTGAATCAAAACTGTCCTTTTTAGTTTTTTTTTGTTGTATTTTTATCTCCAAATTGTGGGGCTGGACGTTTGAAAACTGACCTTAAAAATGCTTGAAAAGTTCTTGAATTTTACTGTTTGAAAAATGAACGAACCTTGTTTTTAGCTGCATTTGCTGCAAATACAGTTTTATTTTATTTTGAAAAATTAAATTGAATTATTTTATATGGATTTTAAAATTTCTAATATTGCATAAAAAACTAAAGTGATGAAATTAAAAAATGCAAGATTAATCGTCAAAATAACGAATATTTAGATTCCTTCTGTCCAGTATTCAGAAATGCTTCATCAAACCGGCAGGTGAAGCTTCAATATCCATCCTGTCCTCACGGGGGCGCTGCAACCTCACATTTGTCAGAGTAGGAAGTACAGTTTTCTGTAACCGTGAATTGAAAGTACGCCATAAATATGGCGCCAAAATAGTTTTCAAGCAGATGATAAGATCGGATTTTTTCCTGCCTTCCTCTCTGTGTTGTCGATCTTTTGATTATTTTTAAAAATCTTTTCTCTGCTGTTTTCAGCTCCAGACTCGCCTGTGCATATATTTTTTGCAGCGCGGTGTTGCAGGCATTCACCGGCCGGAGGAGCGACTGGAGACGAGCTCAGATCTGGGTTTTATTTCTCAACCAGCACCGTTGCCTTACTGGCGTGCGTTGTTTTTTCTGACTCATCCTGTGGAAATATATCCCCGTTTTTTATTTTTTTTGGTTCAGCCACCCTCCTTCCTCTGTTTCCCCAGCCTCCTTCTCCTCCTCCCGCTGGCTCCGAAGGAGGAAAACAGCCGGATAGGGACTCCTCCACGTTTCGGCTGCTATTTTTATTTAGATTTTTTATTTTTTTAAATTTTATTTTATTTTTATTTTTTTTGCAAAATGCGACATGCTTTCCATGTTGCGCGCATCTCGGAGCCTGGCACGCCGGCGGTAGCGCTGCGTTTGGTTTCCTACTGACTGCTCGCCACTTTTCTCTCCGGGTTTGTGTTCAGGAGTGGGATTTTACACATTTTGGATTCGGACTCCTGTCTTTGACGCGCTGTCAACACGCAGTGCAAAGGGGAGGGGAGGCCGGGAGAAGAGGGACAGTCCTGTCACCCTGCGTGGTTTAAGTGTCCGGTGTGTGTGTGTGTGTGTGTGTGTGTGTGTGTATGGGGGGATGTTTAGCAGCACCAACCCTCTGCTGGTAAACTACATGTGCCTGCTCCAGATGATCTCCTAAATCTGATCTAATCCAGGACTGAGGACGTCTGTGAATCCAAAGCTGACTCCTACCAAGGTACGGAAAGCATTTATTTATTCACGCCTTTAAAATGGATGCGAGCTGCGTTCAGGGCTCCCGTGTTGCGTTCAGGACCTCTGAAGTCCACTCCGCTGCGCTCTGGCAGCGCTAGGCCGGCGGCTGTGTGCGCACTTTGGCAGGTTTTGGAAGCGGAAATGCATTTTATCTGAGGCTTTGCGGGAAAATGAAACGAGGAATCCAGCAGGCAGGTAAACTTGACCGCTGCTGGAGAATGTTCCAGTTGGTTTTATTTTACAGTCGCTGCAGCGCGGAATGTGCGTTTTAAACAAGCCACTCATGTCTAGACTCATGCACGCATGATGAAAGTTGCGTGGAGAGAACCAGCAGGAGGAGGAGGAGGAGGAAGCAGCTGAACGTTTTGCAGCAGCAGAGGGATGTGCATGCTCTTTTTATTTCATTCCTGGGGGAAATCTAGCAAATATTCAGCAGAGAACGGCGATGTGTGGCGCTTAGGGAGGCTGAGCACGCAAGCTCACGCATGCACACATCAAGAAATTAGAGCAACTCATCTCCTCTTCCTCCATCAGCCTCCTCCTCCTCCTCCTGCTGCTGCTGCTGCTGCGTGCTGTGCAGCTACGGTTGGCTCAGGGAGAGGGGGGAGTGGCTGTTGTTTACCTCCAGTCAGAGCTGGATCTGTGTGTGTGTCTGCATCAAACAACCACAAACCCCCTTGTACTTGACATCTGCCGTCTTAAAATCCTTGAAAATTATTGAAATTAATTTTTTCAAGGTTTGGAAAGTGCTTGATTTCTGTTGTGTATAAGAGGAAGTATATTTAATACTTTTTTTTTTTACTTAATACGTTGTAAAATATGCATTTTTTATTTTATATGACTCAAAGTAAAGCAATAATCAAATTAAAACTGACCAAACTTCTCTTGCTCTGGGTTAGTCAATTACTATCCGAATTAAATATCTTTACTATTTTGTTTTATCTTAGTTCACCTGGTAGAATGTAATATACCATCATAAGATGGTGGCAAATTGAAACAGTCTTTTTTGTCTTAGCTGTCTAATATTTGTATTTTATTTGTGGTGCTGGAAAAGTTTGAAAACATATTTTGAAAATGTTTGAACTTCATTTAGCGGTGCACCGATTCCAGTTTTTAGGCTGATCTCCGATTACTGACCTTTAAAAAGCCTGACCTGTTTTGGCCGATACCAGTTTTTTTTGTCTGAAATGTTGCTAAACATATGAAGAAAGTCGCTGCGTTATCACCTCCAGGATTAGGTTGTATCTAGTTACATTTACCCAATTAGATTTACTTGAGTAACTTTTATGAAAAAAAATTACTTAAAAAGTTACTTTTTTTTACTGTATTGTACTTTTTGCTTTTACTTGAGTGATTTTATTATAAAGTATTTTTACTCTTACTTGAGTAAAACTCTGGATTTTCTTCCCACTTAATGAAAAACAAACATGTTTTAACTACAAATCCACCAGACTGAGACTCACACCTGCAGTTTCTATTAAGGTTTCTGAAGTTTTTTAGTGAAAAAACTGATTTTAAAACATTTTATTTTTGCTTAATTTGTTATTTTTTGTTACTTATTAAGGAGCAAAATTATTGTCATTTTGGTTTCTAAATACCAAAATTTCCACTTTACTTTATATTTTGGTCCATCTGATGATGAAATTTTTAAATATTAAATGATATTTTGATCAGTTACTCCGTACCTAATTTTTAACTTTTGTACTTTTGAGTAATTTCTTGGATGTGTACTTTTTACTAGAGTAAAACCACATTAAAGTATTTCCACTTTTACTGGAGTATTGTTTTGAATACTCTCCCCTCTGATTGGTCACCTGCTCATCAGTTCTCACCTGGAGGCAAAGCTGGAATCATCCTGGAGTTGTTAAATTCTCCTAAATGTGGCAGCAGAACCTCTTCATGCAGCTCACACACATCACTGTCATAGAAAGACATCTTCTACACACACACACACACACTGACTCCTCTCTGAAGTCAGCTGCAGTGTGTGTCTCTCCTCCTGCTGGGTATCAAACTGACTTGGTGTTTGGGATTCGTTTGTATCTCCGTCTTTGTGGCTCTAGTTTCTCTTCCTTTCTGCCTGTTTCTACTTTGCGTCCGCCACCGTGCCAACCAGCCGTCCGTATCCCAAACAGCCGTAGGGTGACGCTCATCGTCCAACTTCCTGTGAAAGCCTCTTTAGCCCGACATGTGCAGGTGTAGCATCGTGTGTTTCCCATGCCTTTAATCGCTGAGCTCTGATTGGTTGGAGAAGGGGGTAAGGACCCCCACGTGATGCACTGTATCACATTAGCGGCTACGCTAACAGGAGGAGGAGGGATGGTGCTCATGAATGGAGGTCTGACGTCATGTAGCCTGAATCCCCCTCTGACACACACACACACACACACACACACACGTATGTATGTATTGACATGGATTTAGACGGCTGCAGGCAGATTCAGAAATGTGTGTCATGTGAGACGGGAACCAATGAAACGCAGGGATTTGGTGTGTGTTGCTGTATCTCTGAGGATGTTATCTACTACAGGCTGTTTTTATCAGAGTGTGTGGATGTTGTTACTGACTAAAACTGCAGTTTGTAAATGTGTAAAAAATAAATATGTTTATTTTTTACACAAACTGTCTCTATGTTGTGATAGTTTTTTATGAGACAAGTCTGTGAAAAGATCAATGTCTTCCACTTCCGTCCTGAGCTGCTGTGTCTGACTGAAGAAATGCACCAAGAACAACCAAATAGAGCCAGGAGGCGGGGCTTAGCGCTGACAGTCATTCTCATGTACTTGCTGCTAAATGTGCTAATGGTGGATAAACAACTTACTGTTACAGGAAAACAGTTTAATTGCTGTCATCTGTGACTATGCTAACTAGCTTTAGCATTTTCAACATGCTGCAGTATAGAGATTAATAGGCCTGTTGGAATAAGAAATAAATTAATAAATTGCATGATAAATTAAAAGGAGCTCATTAATTTCCATGATTTTTTTATTTTTCTCTTTCTGAATGATAAAAGTTTTCAGTTTGGTGTTTTGGTCTCACCTAATGTTTCAAGTTCTTCAACAAATATTTATAAATATTTATAGCAGGCCTGTCATGTAACAAATTTTGCTGGACGATAAATTGTCCCAGACGTTATTGTAATATAATATTGTTCATTCTTAAAGATCAATAAACTTTAAATTCTAATGATCATCTAACACTGGAACTGGAAGACATTTTAAATATCCAGAATAAAAAAACAAAACAACAAAAAAACAACAGAATCCCTGGAAGTCAGACCAAAACACCAGACTGAAGACTTTCATCATCCAGGGTTTGGTAGAAAGAAAAAAATGGAAATTATTGAGCTTGTTTTCTTTTATCCTGTGATTTATTGATTTGTTGCTTAGTTGGTAAAGACCTGCTTGAAACATGATTTTATTTTTTTCTTTATACAGAGTTACAACTTAAAAAGCAAAAATATCCTCTGATCATTTGCTGTTTTTTAGATTAACAAGCTACAAACCAACCAGGAAGAGTTTAGGAGGGAAAAAGCACAATGCACAGCACAATGCTGTATGATTAATACAACACCCTCCTGACAAACACTTTATCAGCAAAAAATAAAAGAAAAATGTCTTATGACTTTTGCACAGAGCAACACAGAGCTGGAAGTTTGTATTTAATTATAGTAACTGGACGGTGCAGTGAATGCTGAGGCGAAGTGTTCACCCTGCTGAGCCCTGAAGCCTCATTAGCCCGTGTTAGCCTGTGTTAGCTTGTGTTAGCTAACACAGGCTAACACACGTGTGTTAGTGTGTGTTTCTGTTTCGGTGTGTGTTGGTGTTCATGTTAACTCCCTGTTCAGTGGGCGGGCGCCGATCTCAGGCTTCACATGTAGAGGGGGCGTCTTCATTTAAACCCTTTTTCCTTTAATTTGATCCCTTTCTGCGTCAGTGAGGCTGATCCATGGTTTTTAGTTTCATCACATCATTAAAGAATGTCTCACTTTGTTTCTGAATGTTTTTTAGAAGGATGCAAAACAGTTTTAGTTTTGTTTTATTTATTGGTAAGATTTTGTGTTTTTGCAGTGCATCATAGCATTTCTTACTGTTTTGTAGGGATTCCTAATAGACTGCTATTAGCTAACCTGCTATCGCTGTGGTAGCTAAATCACAGCGATGGCAGATTAGTTAATTTAAAACTGGTGCTCCACTGATAATCTGTTGGCGTGTTGGTCGCCTTATTTCATTGATTTTTTTATTCAACTGAATCACACCGAATTGTGCAGCACATCTACATTTGAAGGTCGTCAAAGTCAAGCTAGCAAAACTGACCTACTTCCCTCTCCCTCGCAATTTTTTTTAGATTCAAACTTTTCCTGACCCTGTCATCAGTCAGGAAAACCGACCTTTTTGTTTTGTCGGTGTTGGCAATTAGCAGCAAAGCTCTGCGTGGCTTTTTCTTTAATGAACCAGGCGTACATTAAAGATTTAGCCGTTATGTCGATAACTTGACAACTGAAACCAATGCTAGTTATCGTTAGCGATCAGCTTTATTGCGCTCATGTCGTCACGTTGCAACGTGTTTATAGATGTGGCAGATGACTGTATTATGAGCCAAATATCAGCATAAAGTGGTGATAAATTTTGCCCATCATTTTGATGCAGCCACTGCTTTTCAAAACGGAAACTAAATGGACTCTGCTTTAAAATTAGATGGGACTTATTCTGATTGATCACATTTTCTTTAAATACGGATTAATGTTTTAACTGCTTTTCTGATGTACGAATTTGTCTGACAGGATTTATATTTATAACAACCAGCCTTCTCCTAGTGTTCATAACTGGTACTGCAGGTGAAAACATCTTGTTTTTCTTCTCAGTTTGTTTGTCATGATGCATTCAGAGCTTTTTATCTGTGGTAAACACAGTGCTGCCTCTGAGTCATGGTGTCTCCTCATGCATAAAGATAAAAATAAAACCCGTGTGCCGGAACTATTAA